AGCACAGAGCCTAACATTTAGAAAACTGAAAAAATAAATTCTGATGGCAGAAGTCATGGGGAAAGGGTTCTGGGTGGGAGAATGGGGTCCTGGAGGTTTCTGCCAAACAGTCCTTGGCTCTAATCCAGGAATAATTCTACCTGTCCCAGCTGTCTGCTCCAGAGGCCTAGGAGCAGAAGAACATTTCAGCTGCTGTCTTTGAGCAGAGGATCAGCTGAACCTGTCTGGGCCGGGGCTCAGGGCATTGGCCCGCAGGTCTGGGAAGCCTGGCAGGGAGACGCTAACCTCCTGGAATTAAAGGGCCTTCACTGGTCATAGAAGACATAGGACGGAGAGGAAATGCGGCCGCAAGGAGCTGCCACCCAGTCCCAGCCTGGCCCCACTTACGGAACTGAATGAATTATCAATACTCTCGGTGCTGGAGGAGAGCTCCTGGGAAAGGGCCAGAGGGCAAGGGGAGAAGGGTGGGGTCGGGGGAGGGAAAGAGACAAAGGCAAAGAATTTAGCTCCAACTTGGATCATAACTGCTTCGCTTGTGCAGCATATCTTTCTGCTTTAGTGAAAGATGGTCAGCCTGGACACGCCACTTGCCCAGAGTCTAGACATTTGGGGGATGTTGGAAGGCAAGCTCGGACCTTGAGATCAAGAGGTGAAGGCAAAGGCACTTGGTTTTCTATTTTATCTTCTATTCTTGCCTGAACAAACCTTCCCTTTAGATCAAAACCCTAGAGCTGGATCCCTAGTGCAGTGAGTGCCTGGCCAGGGTTCACTTCTTTCCGATCACCCACTCACATGCTTTCAACCAACCCTTCTCTAGGGGACAGCCACCAACTGCACGACCCCTGGACTAGAAAGTCTAGATTCCTCTAGTTTCCTGACCATCTCAGGCAGAGTTAACCCTTCAGGTGTACAGACCTCCTTAGTCAGCCCCAGGATCACCCTAAGTGTGTGACAAAGGGCATCCCAGACCCATGAACCTGAAACCTGTGGGCTGGATGCTCACATCTTCATCAGTCTCATTAAACCCATTAACCCTCTGGCTTCCTGTCGGACTGCTGCACATGACACTGAATACATGACATTTCTGGACTGACGTTGGACAATTAGGTCATAGCTAAATCCACTGAAGAAAGCTAATTAGCAGGGCAGCTGCAGTCTTGATCCCAGCCCAAAGTCTGATCCCAATAATCTAAACATCACCCCAGCTGAGTGCAGTGACACACGCCTATAATCTCAGTATTTGGCAGGCCAAGGCAGAAGGATCAAGAGTTCAAGGCTAGCCCAGGCTTCATACTGAGAGTCTTTCTTAGGAAACAAACAGAACATTAAAAAAATAAACGCTCCCCGTCTCCTTTGCTCAGCTGTTATCTAGGAACCAAGTGCGGGCAGCACACCCAGGAGCTGCGGAGAGTACTCACACCCTGGGCCAGCCAGGGCTCTGTCCAGTCCACCAGGGCAGGCAGGCGGCGGCACAGAATGTGTGCACAAAGGCAGGAGGGGAGGGTGTGGACTACGAGGCAGGGTCTTTTAGAGTTTGCAGAGCAAGGAGGTAGTGGGCACTGCACTTCTTCTCTACAGTCAGCATCTGCTTAATTCAACTCTATGGCTGAAGGTCGCAGTAGACGTGCTACGTTTGGGTTTTCCTTCATGAAACTGGGCAGGAGAGCATTTACAGGGTGTAGCCACACTTGGAAACACCCCGCTAAGGCCACAACTCTTCTACTTTGAGTAGCAGTGGGAGGGAGGATTGAGACAGTGAGGCTGGCAGAATGTGTTACAACCTACTTGTTCAATTTCTACACCTCAGCTAGCTGGGAAAGAGGAACAGGCAGGAGATTGGCTCTAGCTGATCCTCTCCCAGACGAGAGCCGGTGGACTCATGAATGTCCATGGCGGGCAGGAGGATATCGTGATCTGTTCCTCTCCTCCTACTCCCGAGGCCTGAGTCATTTGTACTGAGTCAGCTTTGGGGAGTAAAGCTGAAGCCAAGAGCTGACATCACACCTTATCAGGCTGGGAGGGCTTCCAGTGTGACATGCAGCAGATTTCTCTGTACAAAGGTTACAGTCCTGAAAAGACAAAGCTATCTGTCTGGAGTGTCATTATGTAGAGAGGATAGAATTAGGGGGTGGTACCTAAATCACTTGTGCCCCCCCCCCCAACTCTATGCCAAAATATTTATCATTTGGCTACAAACAGGAAGGAAAATTGAGGCTGATAAGAACTGCTTTGAAGGTTGGGCGTGTGTGTGTGTGTGTGTGTGTGTGTGTGTGTCAGATGTGAGAAATCAATGCTAGAACCCTCTGTAAGGAGCATGAAGGAATCCTCATAAGAAAATGGAAACTTCTGAGATCTGGCCAGTGAAGAAGAGCTTTGTAGGGAGACTCCAGGCAGGAAGTAGCCCTGGGCCTCTTCCCTGAGGCCCCACCTCACTTCTGGGAGCTTCTCCATAGTGGGAGGAGCATGGGATTAAGCAAAACCCAAAGGAAAACTGAGACTGGGAGCAGAGAGGGTAAGGCCCCACCCAGAAACTCTCCTTCTTTACAAGATCTTGCTTGGGCTCTAAAAAAATCTGTAGTTCATTTTAATAAGATATGTATGTACTGACTGCCTCTGGAAACAACTTTTCAAGAAAGACACGCTGACAAGCTCCTCATATTGGAGCTTTGGTATTAGACTATCAGTTCTAGTCCAAGAACAGTATTTTATCCTCCATCCTCTGCTGCCTTTGGGACAGAACTCTGCACACTGTACAAGCAACTAGTTGTTTAGTGAGTCAGTGTTTCATGACAAGGGGGGAAGAAAAGGAAGACCAATTCCCTTGGCACCTCAAGCACAAACCTTTGATAGACATATCCTCAAAATGTCAAGAGGACTGGCAGAAACCCCTGAGTTTGGCTCCATGCCTAGAAACCTAGTGGTATTTATGTTTGTGTTCTCTGTTTCTCTTTCATGCTTTCACGTTTCCCAAGGAGCCTCAGTGGATTCAAGTGTCTCTCTGCCAGCATCAGCTAACCCAGGAGGGCCTGGGGAGGTGCTATCTATCTCCCTTCCTTCCTTCCTTCCTTCCTTCCTTCCTTCCTTCCTTCCTTCCTTCCTTCCTTCCTTCCTTCCTTCCTTCCCTCCCCGGACCTAGTGATCAACTAGGAGCCAGGCGGGGAAGAACAGCAACTGGAAACCCCACCCTGGAGATTTAAACACTCATAGAATACCTGCCTCTCAGAGCCATCCATAATCCTGCAGCAGAAGTTAGATGCATAGGAGAGGGACCCCAGACCAGCACAGGGTAAGAGAAACCCTAAGGCCTCTGCTTTTCTGGTCCTAAGATGAAGACTAAAAAATAGATACAGGGAAAAGTCAAGCCAGACAAGAGGCACCAATGAATCCCCTCCCAGATGCGCACACGCACTCCGACCAGATCTGATTTTAGATGAGGCAGTTCTTTCAGAGAAGTTCAAGCCTTCCGGGCCCTAAGGTCCACCACGATCTGGAGGGTTCTTCTTGCTCTGCAATAACCTCCCTTCCTAGACCCTGGACTCTGCTGCAAAGCTCAGACAGAAATGAAATCAGTCCACTCTACTTCCCGTAATAGCTCGGGCTTTGTCTGTACACAGATGTGGAAGTGCAGACTGTCACATCCTGGGCTCTTCTTCCCCCATGACCTCTTACAGCTGGGATCTGGGGGAACAGATGCTGAGGAATGACCGAGGCAGCTCAGCTGAGTGACTATGAGCACGAACTGTGGACTGGGCTCCTGGTCTAACAGTCACTAGTTGAGTGACCTTAGTAAAGGCATTTAACTTCTCTAAGCCTGGTTCCTCACTCGTGAAATAACACCAGGTAGAGTTGTGAGGGGTCCACATACATTGTCTGGCCTGCTGCCTAGCATATCAATGGTCAATAAACAGTGGCACAGTTAGCTTTAGTACCATTAAAATATCACAACAGAATACATTTCCAGGGAGAGCAGCCTCCAAATTCCCCTTGCCTACTGCTTTTCCTTTCTCTAACTACTCTGACTTCCCTCCACTTGAAAGAAACTTTTCTGTATAAAAAATGTGGGTGGTTTACACCCCACAGAGCCAGATGCCAGGACCATGGGCATAAGCTTTCCAACAGTGCAAATTCATTGTTTTTCCTTTTTTCTTTTCTTTTAAACCCCTTCTTTTCTAGGCTCAGCTGGCAGCCAGAATGGGAGCCTGCCAACAGTGAAATCAGAGATGAAGACTGGAGCACCATTAGTCTGGCTGGGACACCAGGCCACTGAACTTGGCTATCCACTGGGCCCTTTCCCCACAAACTGTCCAGATGTATAGCACATGGTGGTGCTAAGCTCTTGACCACTCACTTCCTGCTCTCTATCAATATTGGGTAGCCTGCTACCGCCGAGTTTCCTTTTCTCCGTCTCAGCTCCTCAACCAGGCATTAGACTTACTTTGCCAAGGCTATTTCTCTCTTCCCTTTTTGTTTATCTCCAACGAAGGCAGGACATTCTGTTGAGGTCCCACTGGTAGAGAATAAACTTTACCCTATGTTAGCAAAAAGTAGGATCTTTGGGGAGTGAGGGGAGGGGATTATGAGGAATGGCCAGAAGTAGTTGGTGTACTAGTTAGCATCCTTCCTCTCCCAGCACAGAAAAAGCACAGCCCCTTTTCCTTCCTTGTGGGCTGCTGGGACCTCAGCCAGGCCAGGCCTCAAGCAGGGTGCATCAGGCCTGTACCACAGTTCTTAGTGTGTGGTTAATGGAATGACAGCACAGTTTAGTGAAAGCCAACTCTGGACTACATCAGGAGGATCAGCCCTGCCATTAGCTAGATGACCTGAGGCAAGTCACTTGATCTCTCTACTCTCTGAATTTTTCCTCTGTGAAATGAGGCCATTGGAATACATGAATTCTAAGGTCTTTTTCCATCCTAACATTCCATCCTTCTAACAGTGAAATGGAACAGAAGGGAGGACAGAGAACAGAGTGACCCCAAGTAAGATGTCCTGTCTCCATGCAACCCTCGGACACCTTGCCCTTCTGTCCCTCCCCCAATTTACCTCATCTTCATTCTCCACTTTAGGGTTGCTGGCTGTTCGTTTCAGGTTGCTGCTGAGACTTATGCTGACTGTAGCATCTGACTTGGAGCGCTGGTGAGTCCTTTTGGAAGGAGACAGCCCTGTGTCAGGGGCCGGGCTCAAAGACGGCAGCTCCCTCTTTCGGTGAGCTGGCTTCAGCTCATCTGAGAGGATTAGCTTCCGTAACTTGGTCCCTCGGGAGTGTCGTTGGGTGGAAATGTGCATGTCTGAAGAGTAGGCCCCAAGCAACAGGGCACATTGGAGGGAAAAGTTGATGCTCTGGCGACATCGGTGGACTATGTAGGGTTTAATGGCATCGCCCACGTCCTCATCCATGTGAATATACATGTTAAGCAACTGGGGCAAATAGAAGTCCACATCCTCATTGCGAAAGCAGAAGAGGCGGTTGCCAATGTAGGCCTGCACTCCAGGCTCCTTGGAGTTGTACAAGTATGAGATGGCCATGGAGATGTCAAACAGTTTTGACTCGAACAGCCTCAGGAGCCAAGACTGTTTGGCCGAGTTGTTTTGTCGTCGTCTTCTCGCTCCTTTGGCTGTGCCGGGGGCCACAGTGGCCTCCATCTCATCTTCTTCCTCCCTGATCTGGGCAGGTGGATCATCTAGGCAACGGATCTCATTGTCCACGCCATCCCCATTCACCAGCTCCAGCGGGGTACCTTTACTAGAGATGGCTACACCTCCATGCAAAAGCTTGACTTTCTCCAGCACCTCCTGGCAGGCCTTCTGGGCCACCTCAGGGTCAATCACTGACAGTTCCCCGACCCCCTCTGTGATGACGCTTAGTAAGGAGCCCCCATTATTCCCTGATGGGCTAGGAGTAGGCTCAGAAGTTGGCTTCAAGGTGGCTGGCTCCACTACCATGTCTCCCATGGCTACAGCCAGACTTGGAGCTTCCAAGCTAGAGGAGGGAGACAAGAACAGAAAGGGACACACACACACACACAGTGGTTAGTGGCGTCATATTCAGCTCTTCCCTTTCCCATGAAGCCTGCCCAAGCACCTCCTCCCTCCTGTCCTTCAGCATCAGAGAAGTCATCTCAACAGAAATCTCCCTCCCTGCCTCCACTTCTGATCACTGCATATCATTCCTTCTGTACTCACTCAAACTAGCCTCGGTTCTTAGCTTGCGTGTGCAAACAGGTGAGATAGTTATACGGTCTTTTAAGTTTTTCAGCACACTGGGGAGCAGCTCGGTCTTATTCTCTTTTCTTTAAATACTGTTTTCTTGTTCTTCCTGTGTCACCTTCAAATGCCTGTAGTGATACTTTTCCTATTTAAACTATTATCTACTTATTCATAACATATTTCACACACAAGTTCTCTGCTTCTCTCTTTATTTAGTATCAAAGTGTTATTGTCTTCTGAGACAATCTTATACCCAGGCTGGCCTTAAACTTGTAGTGATCCTCCTGCCTCAGCCTTCCAAGTACTGGCATTATAGGTACTAGTTACTACTCCTGACTGTGGTTACAGACACAGTGCCCAGGGAATAAGAGCCAGCAAACACTACACTAGGCTTCCCTTAGTGGAGAGCGTATCTAAGCAGCCATCGTCAGTCTTGCAGACGCTGTACCCTTTTTCTGCAGGTCTGCTTGCCGACACTATACCCTCGCTCTAGGTTTATAAGCCGTAAAACTTAAACACACCATGTATCTTCTGTTTCAGTTTCGTCAACTGCAAATTGAGAAAAAAAAATAATTACTTCACATTGCTGCTGTACAGAAGACAGACATAAACTTATGTGGATGAAATAATTTAACAGTTTCTGGCACGAGGTGGCACTCAATAATGCTAGTTGAATTCTAACCCTGTAAAAGGTTACTAAACAGTGTGTGCATATGTGCTATTATGAGGGACATGAGCTGCACTGTTTTTTTGTGATTCTTTAAAAATTTATGACCACTTTTCCCTCCCCGTACTATCCCTTCCCCACTCTCAGGTACAAACTCCAGGAACTGGAAGGGCTGTAAAAGACAAAAAGAAATCAGGACTCATGGGTCTCTAACTTCTGAAAAACCAGGGACACACAGGAGTTGAAACTTGGCTCTCTCTCGGGATGGACTAGAAGTAGTCAGAGAACACTGCTGGTGAAAGCCACGGATCCTCCAGGAGCCTTCAGAGTGTCACCAAACCAGATCAGAAGAGTGAGCGAAAAGCAGAAGAAAAGGATCTCAGAGTGACCAGATCAGGAGAAAAGTCTACAACACTGTGTCAGATGATTCTGGCTTTAGAATCTGGATATAGCCATCAGTAGACTCAGAGACCTCTTTCCAAATAAAGAGAGCATCCAATGCACCACTTTAGAAGAAGGGAGAGGCTTCTGTAGAACCAGAAAGTAAGTAATTTCCAGCTGGGCATGTGGTGGCGCACGCCTTTGATCCCAGCACTTGGGAGGCAGAGCCAGGCGGATCTCTGTGAGTTCGAGGCCAGCCTGGTCTACAGAGCGAGTTCCAGGATAGCCAGAGCTACACAAGAGAAACCCTGTCTTCAAAACAAACAAACAAACAAACAAACAAAAAAGAAAGTAAGTAATTTCTAAGTGTTTAGAACATTATTCTTTGTTCCAGCGAGGCTGGGGTATCTATACCTTGGGTGAGTAGAAAAGGAGTGCTCAGTATATGTTTTTCTGGTCACTCTGAAGAACTTTTGTTTTTTCCCTGGACAGGGGTCTCGTGAATTTCAGGCTGGCCTTGAAGTCACTATATAGTGGAGGATGATTTTAAACTTGTGATACTTGTGCCTCATTTCCCAAGTGCCAGGGTTAGAGGCATGGGCCTGTGTGCCTGGTTTGATTGAATCCAGGGCTTCATACATGTTAGGCATGCACTCTACCAACTAAGCTGCATCTCCAGCTGCAGAAGCCTTACTTTCTGCCACCTTCCTTCCACTGATGCGTCTTTTACCTTAGAAGCGTTCAGTTACTGTCATTTGCCCAATATCACACAGCCCAGTTCTCTGCCTCCCAGGAATAGTACCAAAGCTTTGCAGAAAGACTGATGGGAAAACTCTTCAACTTCAGATACCAACAGAAAGGGAAACTTGACTAACTTTCTCTCTACTCTGTCGAGCAAGAAAAGTATCTCTGTACTCCTGATGAGGTCTGGGCTTGGTATCAATATGAAGGAGGCAGCCTTTCACTAGACTCTTTCCCAGAGTTAGGCAGTGCCTCTGAGCAGAAGAACCAGCATGGCTGCCTATGTGGATTGCACAGGAATAATAATAAAGCAGCTTTAATCACTCCTGCCACACCTCTGTAGGGAACTTTCATGACTGAGACCTTTACCTTCTAGGTCTTCTAGCCTCAATCAACTCTGTTCAACTATCTCTTTTTTCTCAGTATCTGTATGCCTGACTCATCCTTCTCTTTTCTAGTTCAGAGACCTCTTTTTTTTTTTTTTAAAGATTTATTTATTATGTATACAGTGTTCTGTCTGCATGTACGCTTGCAAGCCAGAAGAGGGTACCAGATCTCATCACAGATGGTTGTGAACCACCCTGTGGTTGCTGGGAATAGAACTCAGGACCTCTGGAAGAGCAGCCAGTGCTTATAACCGCTGAGCCATCTCTACTGCCCTAGAGACTTCTAAATCACAAAGCTCCTAAAAGTCTGCTTTTCAAAACCTTAAAGGAGATCTGGTGTGGGGTGCAGAACTGTAATCCCTGAGAGTCAGAGGCAGGAGGATCAAGAACAAAAGTTCAGTTATATAGCAAAGCAAGTTCAAGGCCCAGTTTACATGGTATAATCTAAAGAGAAACAAAGCAAAAAATTAAGGGGTACTGAGAGTAAATAAAAGCTTAGAAGCAGAGTATTTGTCTAACATGTACAAAGCCCTGTATTTGATCCCCAGTATCATTAAAACGAAAACAACCACCGGGCTGTGGAGGTGCATACTTTAATCCCAGCACTCCAGAGGCAGACAGAACTCTGTGAGTTTGAGGCCAGCCTGTTCTACAAAGCGAGTTCCAGGACAGCTAGGGCTGTTAAACAGAGAAACCCTGTCTCAAAAAACAAAACAAAACCAACCATCCCCCAAACTTCCAAGGGAAATGAAGTTCACTCATCCTCACACATAAGAGTGTCTTAGACTTGACAGGAAATTAATATTCCTGTCCCAATTAATTGTTTATGACTGGCACCAGGAAGGCAGGTAAAGGTAACATCACCTTTTATCCCATAGGCAAAAGAAGACAATCTCCCAGGGCTCAGCGAGGAATCCCACATCACAGTATTCAACAAGGAATCCCACAGTGAACAGATTCCCCCACCTGCCTAAGAAACCGGACGCTATCACCAGGTGCAGAAAAAGCCTGGCATAGGGCACGTGAGATTGGCTCAGTGGACAGAAGCACTTGCCATGCAAGCTTGGTGGCCCAAGTTCCATCCCTTGAGCCTAAGGCAGAAGGAGAGAATCAATCACGCCATGAAAGTTTTCCTCTCACCCTCACATGCATGGCATGGCATGTGTGTACTGACCCACGCACATGTACATGAAACATAGATTTTTTAAAAAAGCAGGGTATGGTGGTATATGCCTGTAATCTCAGCACTTGGGTAGTAGAGGCAGGAGGATCAACAGTTCATGCTCATCTTCAGCTACTTAGTGAGTTGAGGCCAGCCTGGGCTACAAGAGATTATTGTCAAGACAAAACTAAAACCAACCCCCCCCACACACAAAAAACCAACAACAAATAAAAAAAAAAAAAAAACCCAACCAGACCAAACCAAAAAAGTAGGGCAGATAAGCCCAACTTCTCTTTTATACAAGCATCTCCACCGGGCTCTTAGGGACTCAGGGACCACAAGTCAGAGAAGGAATACTAGAGGGAATAGGGTTAGATCATATTGGCAATTAAGATAACAGAAATAGGGACTGAAAAGGTTGTTCAGATGGAAAAACGCTTACTCTGCAAGCACCAGGACCTGAGTTTGAGCTCCAGAACCCATGTCAAAAAAGCCTAGCATGGCAGTGTACACTTGTGACCCCGGTGCTGGGGAAACAGAGACAGGTAGATCCTAGGACTATCACCTAGCTAGTCTACTGTGCTCAGCCAGATGCAAGCTGAGGAACTCCTGTCTTTTAGAAAAAGTTGCTAGTCAGCATCTGGCAAACAACCTGAAGTTGTCTTCTGGCCTCCACATGTATGTGTGCACACACAAATAAACATATGGGCAGAGACACATCTACATGAGTAACAGAAATAAGGGATTCTCCAAAATCTAATTCAAATATGCTCTTCAATAATTTCTTCATCTTTAAAAGCAATGAAAATAAACCTTGGAGCATTAACTATTCTGAAGAAAGTAAGAGGATTAAAATTCAGCAACAAAAAAGAGGAGAAACAAGCCTTGTGTTTATCACTCTTCCTCCTACAAGCTGTAGCATCCACACAGCTGAGGATCCACAGCACACTGGGAGTCTAACCTCTCCTTAAGACAGACTGGGGGGAAAAAGAGCCTCCTTGTCTGAGCCTAGCAGCTCGGCTACTAGGACAGAAGGAGGGGGCTGGGGAAAGATCAGAGCTCCAAGTGTTGACAACTGTGCCCCATGGAACTGGGCAAGGTAGGCATGATGGGTAATCTTCAATCAACTTCATAGGATTTAAAGTCACCTTGGAAACAAACCTCTGTATGCATGTCTGTGAGCGATTTTCTAGACTAGGCTGGAGGCACCATTCCATGGCCGGGGCCCCAGACTGAATCAAAAGGAGGCAGTAAGGCGAGTACATCCATTCATGGTCTCTCTGTCCTTACTGCAGATGCAGTGACCAGCTGCCTCACTCCTGCTCCACACCACCACGCTCCACTCTATCACTGTAACCTCAGACTGTGAGACAAAACAAATTCTCCTTTAAGTTGCTTTTGTCAGGTATTTTGTGACAGCAACAAGAAAAATAACTAATATAGTAGAGAAAGGCTGAGTATCAGGGTCAGTCCAGGTTATGGTAGTACAGAGCAGCTTCTGAAGAGGCAGAGAAGGTGGCCACATACGTGTTTTATTGGCCTGAGCAGTTATGCCTACAGAGGACTCTGGAGGGAATATTATCTCTTAACCAGGCTATCTTCAACTGAGCACCTCAGAAATTCTGAATTTAATGAAAAAGGTCTTCTCATGAAAAAAAAAAAAAAACCAAAAAAACTTTTCATGATGTTGCTTGCACAGAATTTAATGAAAAAAGTCTTCATGAAAAGACTTACTGTACTGGCCTTTCAGGAAAGATGGTACCAAGTCCCAAATCAATGCCTTTACCCAATCACCATTATTACCACTTCAAATCTTTTACTATCCATGATAAATATGAACTATTTCACACCAATCCTGATGCTTTAACATGCTCCTGCATTTTCACAGAATGTCTTTTGTTTGTTTTTGAGACAGAGTTTCTTTGTGTAACAGCTCTGGCTGTCCTAGAACTCACTCTGTAGACCACTTTGAGGCTGGCTTCAAACTCACAGAGATCCACCTGCCTCTGCCTCCTGAGGACTAGGATTAAAGGCGTGTGCCACCACTGCCTGGCACACAGAATTACTTTTTAGAAATCATCTGATCTAGTGCTCTTCTTCAGGCAGGCCAGCTCAATTTTCCTTCCTTTTAAGGATCCTTTGAGATGGGTCACAAGAAGTGGGGGAAAAAAAAAGATAAAGGAACCAGTATCTTACTGTATGAGGTGCAGTTAAAGTTCATAGAAAAGAGGGCCAAGGGTGTAGTGAACCAAGGGTCCAGTGCAGTGATATAGGATTTACCTAACATGAGCAAGGCCCTGGGTTTCAATCTCAGCAATGGGAAAAGCTCAGATGGAAACAAAACTGTAATAATTACCTAAACAAGTATAAATCCTCTACAGTCAAACTCTCTTTTGCAACAAAGGGTTGGGAAACAAGCGTTTAAGTGAAGCCATGGTAATGAGCTCTGGACAGAAGTTTATACTGAGATAATTAAAGAGGCTAGCTCCAATTTGAGGGAGTGTGAGTACAGATGTAGAGAAAGGGACTGTTAGTTTTGATCATAAATCCCTACAATGCTATTGAATATGACCAAGTACATGTACATCGTTAGCAGCAATTTTTAAAAATAGGCTGCTCTTCAAAAGGGACTCTGTATCACCCTAGGCTGCTTGTTCTGCTGTCAAGTTTCTTGCTGGGGCTAGAGAGAGGGCTCAACAGTTATGAGCACTGTCTGCTTTTCCAGAGGACCTGGGTTCAATTCCCAGCAGCTCACAACCATCTTTAATCCCAGTTTCAAAGGAACAAACATCCTCTTCTAGCCTTTGCAGGCAACTGGCACATGTATGGCCCACGGACATATACAGGCAGGCAAAACATCCATACACATAAAAATTTTTTCTTAAAAAAGAAGTTCCTTTCCATGTCTTAAGGTCTATTACAAATCTTTAAGAACTCAACTCATCTTTCACCTTTGACTTTAATGGTAAAGGAAGAATGATTTTTACATTTTTCCCTGTAGAGACTCTGGACTGAGCAGTCTAGCAAGCTCAAGCCCAGCAGGAAGCAAGTATGCTTGCCCAAGGTCTCAAAAGATGGTGGCATCAGGGAAGAGGGCATTTTCAACTACGGCCGTGGGGGAAGGGCAGTGGTCTCACAGTAGTTAGGTCAATATTGATCAAGCTGAGAACTCTGTGTAAGGCCATGCAGCAGGTATAAGCAGATTCCAGCCAGACAGCCTAAGCCTGCTCAGGAGCCCCTGATGAGACCGACAGATGGTAAAGAAAGCAACCTGCACCGCTCACCTTTCTCTGAACTGGTCCTCCTTGTTTAAGCCCTCAATGGGCTTAGACTAGGCCCTCTTTTGTCCCACGCCAATTACGGAAATGATCCTCCCGAACCTCTTCCCCGAACCAAAGCAGCAGCTCAGTTTGTTACATTAGTGTTCAACAAACATGTTCTTAGGCAGTGTGGACCCGGATGAGAAGCAAGGACAACTAGAGGTATGGGTTTTTGTTAAGGGCACATCTAAGGAGGGAAGGTGGTACTCGGAGTAACTTCGGGGTAAGAAGTGAGCCAAGATGGTTTAACTATTTTCTTTCTCTTTTTTTTTTTTTTGGGGGGGGGGAGTGCAGTTTGAGACAGCGTTTCTCTGTGTAACAGCTCTGGCTGTCCTAAAACTCCATTTGTAGACCAGGCTGGCTTCGAACTCAGAGATCCGAAATCTGCTTTCCCAGTGCTGGGATCAAAGGCGCACCACCACCACCTGGCTTACAGAACTATTTCAGACCTGAGCAGGCCTAGAGTTGGGAGAGGAATGGAGTGCCTGTGCTTTCCTTATTCTCCAGGCCAGAAGAGATGTGGGAGACGAAGCAGGCGCTCGTCAGCTGCAGGAAGTCCCCTTTCCAAGGGCTCTTCTACAAACACATTCTAACTACAGAATCTGGAGTTAGGGATCGGGCACGGAAGGAGAGGCACAGGTGGTCAATGATTTCACGTGGTGGAAGAGAAAAAGGCAGGGCTGAGAAGCAGCAGGCCAGGAGCTTGCGTTCCAAACTGACTTCATACACGCAGGGCCCAGAGAGATCGAAATATCAAAATAAAGGAAAGTCTCAAGATGACAAAACCACTAGCAATAAATACCTTTTGCCTGAGAACCTGCAGTGTTTAATAAATTAAAAGAAAAAGTACAATTATTCTCCCGACAGACACCCTGCTGCTAGCCTGTTATTGCACTGGTGCTTACAGGATGGGTCGTTTTCCTCAAAAGAGCATTTTCAAGTTCAAGTAAGGAAGTTACATGCAGAACCAAGGGTCCTGATTCTGAATATGCCAGCTCTTTATATCATCTCATGGTCCTTTTCCCAGTCACCCCCCACCCCAGACATACACAACTTCACCCCTTAGGTCCAAGTGCTTATGAAACTAACCAACACTATTCCACTAGGCTTCCGTCAGTAAAGTAATGATCTGGTCTAGACAGGAGTAGGAGATACTATCCTGTGACCTACAAAGACCTAAAATAAATAAGCTGAAGCGAAATTTCTCACAGCCTCATTCAGTGTCCATGCAAGCCTGCCCATCTCTCCTAGTGGTCGCTCCTAAACAGACAACGAAATGTAATGTGATCGATAGGGACTTCTTTAAGAGTTGCTCCATCCTTCAGAAACACACATCTGTCCAGAAGAGCCCGGGAAAGCTGAGGCTCCCCTCCTCACAACACGTTTTCTTCTTAGCTCAAGGTTTGGTTGCTCTGAAATAAGTGATGTGTGGAGATACAGAGTGGGACCGAGAACACTTAAAGACCACAGGGAAAACAGAACCAAGGGAGACCAAGATTGGCAAAGTCCTGGAAAGAGGGTTGTTTTTGTGTGTGTGTCAAAAGTTGGAAATCCCTAATCTGAAGGGGTGTTCACGGCAGATCCTTCTCCTACAGGAACCATCCTCCGGAGGACTGGAGACTGAGAAGGGGGAACGCGAAGCCAAAGACAACCAACTCCAGGTATCATCAGGCACCCCAGAGCAGGGCTGAGCACCGAGGTCAAAGTAGATGGGATCCTGGGCATGATGACAACGGTCTGAGATCCTCTGAGAAGGGAATAGGCAATTCTTGGGAGCTAGGAGCTGGGGGAGTGGGGGACGGTGAGGTCATGGAATCGGAAGCAGAAGAGAGGGATACGATCTTTAGCTGAGGGAAATGGGAACTGTGCTGAGGTTGCACAGACTACGGAGTGGGGCAAAAAAATAGGAAAAGGGATAAAGGCGGAGTCCATGGAAAAGGTCTGGGAGCAGAAACACAAACGGCGAGGAAGGGCAAACAAGATGGACATTGTAGAGGGAGGCTAAGGTGGAAAAGGTTCACGGCTTAGAGGAATAGCTAAGGGACAGGCAACGGGGGTAAGAAGTGTGTGGTGGGGGGAGGTGGAATCCACGGGGCAGAGGGAGGGGCTAAACAGAAGAGGAAGCCAAGAAGCAGAGAAGACGACCCCGGGCCCGAGGGGAAAGGGAAGGACCTCAGGGTGCAGCTCCCACCAGCAGGGCAGTTTTGTAGTCGAACCCAGGTCGCGGTAGGCTGTGCGGGACAGGGTGGCAGAAGGACCCCCCCCCTCCCCGGGCAAAGGCGACTCATGGGGGAGGAGCCGCTTACCTCCGGGGGACCCTCGCGGAGGGGGTGCAGGCGGTCGGGGTCGGACTGCCGACACCGCCGCCTCAGCAGCAGCGGCCGCTCCCGGGTTCCATTGGCCGCCTGCGCTTCCCTGACAGCGGCCGCGGCGGCTGCACCAGGCCCCGGCTGCGGGGCTGCCCGCGGCGCCGCCTGAAGGGGCCTTCACGCTGCCTCAAGTTGGACCGGACCTCACAAGCAGGACCCAAAACAACAACTCCTCGGCGGGTTTCGATGTAAGAGTCCCCTGGGCCCGAGCCCTTCTTGCCGGGATTTGCCTTCCTGCTTCCCGGACTGTCAGGACGCTACCGATGCCATAGTAATCTGAGTTGGGTGAGCTGCCCGAGTCACGCCTGTTCAGAAATACAAAGGGGGCGGGGAAGAGCGATTTGGAAGCTTGGGAAGGGGCGGGGGAGCGGGGCGGGGCTTATCGGTGGAAGGCGGGCCCAGCGTTGGAGGGCGGACCTAAGAGGCGGGCTTTACTAAGGAAGCCGAGAGGGAAGGACCGTGGGCTGGATAAGCGGCGAGATGTGGATGCAGTGATAGTTTATGTACTTCCACAAGTATACCGACATGCAAATTATATGTAAATGACTCGTTTGTATAAGCCACTGAGTTACTGTAATTGCCATCAGTGGCTTCTTCTCCTCCTGTCCTACAGGATTGATTCCCTTCCTAAACCAGCCGGTGGGACCCATGCTGGAAGGCCAGAAAACAAGTGAGAAAAAGAAGGGATCAGAGAGGAGGACAATCACCCTCACTTTCCTTCTTCTACTCATCTTTAAGGACAATGCCAAGAGCATGCCCCTGTGGCTTCTGGAATGGCGCGGTCCAACCGCCTCACTCTTGCACCGTTAGCAGCACCGCTCTGGGCCAAGGTTCTGCTTCCGAGGTCATCCCCAGCTTGGGCAGCCTTTGGCCTCCAGTGTCCAGTCGCCTTGACCTCAAACAGGCTGGACAAGCCAGGCTAGGAGAGGTGAGTGAAATGACGAAAGCTTAGAGGACATCCTTTTCCAAACCAAACAGAACCACGTGAGACTGAGCAGACACAAGCGGCCTTGCAGACAGGGCTCTGTGTTGGTTTTGCGTTATTGGTTGGCCACTGTTACTGAAAGCCCTCCCCTTCCTCAGAACGACTGCCCCGACGCTCTCCTGGAACCGCTCTCAGGACCTAGGGCCCGCTGTAGGGGTGAGGATCTTAATATTCTACTGGAAGCTGGTTGAACTCAGATCTTGGATGCCATCTTCACTGTACTTAGTGTTTGCGATCCTTCTTTCCCTTTTCCCTCTATTCCCCCCGCCCCCACATACACCTTTCCCCTTTAGAGACAGTCTGTTTTTCCCAGGATGCTTTCTATTCCTCGGCTCAAGTCACTGGCCTGTAAAGTAACTAGGAATATATCCACATGCCCCCATACTAGACTGAACCTCTGTATAATAATGACAACATTACCATAACAATATAGTAACAGTAATATCTGAGATAATAATACCATTTTCCAAGGTTGGGGGGGAGGTTGGGGAATATCAAGAAAGTACTATAATACTACACGTCTGTTATTGTGACATTAATACATGATGAATGTCCCAGCGTCAGTATTTACTGGGTGGCAGATAAACAATTGTAGCTTGAGGGGGCTGAAAAGATAGCTCAGTGGACTTGTGACTCTTGCAGCGACCCGGGTTCCATTCTCAGCACCCACAGGGTGGCTCACCACATCCATAACTCCACTTCCAAGGGGTCCAGTGCCCTCTTCTGACCTCTGTGGGCACCAGATACATGCCTGCATACATGGAGGCAAAACATTCATGCAGATAAAATTAGAGCTGCAGCTTGAAATGCCTGCCTAAAACCCGCTGCCGAGGGCAGTACAAACGCAGAAAGTAGAACAAATGGAGTTCTTCCGTGCTGCACACACAAGGCAGGGCCTCATTAAACTGACACAGGAGGCCTGGCTGCATGGTATATGGCGAATACTGGAAGGTTTCTTATGAATTCTGCAAGGCAGGACTTAGGAGAGAGAGTCTCCAGCGGGATGAAAAGGAAAGCGCATTCTAAGAGTAAAAGAATCACATGCTGAACAATAGAGGACAGGACAAACAGATAAACTAGGCTAAAGGAGGAGCATAGTAATGGAAGACAAGCAAAGAAGAGCAACAGGGTGCCAAAGACAGTTCAGCCTGTCACTGTGTGGGCCAGCACCGTCCCACCTGTCACACCCACAGTCCTCAGCTCGCTTCCAGTCATCAGCTGTATCGACAAGTGGTGAGCCTGTGGTAGCCTAGAGTTTAAATGTTACACATTCCTTAAAGACCTAGGATTCCATGGGGCCACAAAACTAGTCTTTATTTAATTTGATTTTTGGAGACAGGGTCTCTCTACATAGCCCTGGCTGTCCCAGAACTTACTATGTAGACCAGGCTGAACTCAAACTCAGAGATCTGCCTGCCTGTGCCTCCTGCTGGATTAAAGGTACTTGCCACCACACTGGGTTAAAACTAGTTTTTAAATATTGTAAAAACAGGTATGACAGGCTGGATATATTAAAATAAACAATACAAAATGAGGTGTCAAAGTCCTTTTTTGTTTTGTTTTTTTGAGACAGGGTTTCTCTGTGTAACTCTGGCTGTTCTGGATCTCACTCTGGTAGACCAGGCTGGCCTTGAACTCACAGAGATCCACATGCCTCTGCCTCCTGAATGCTGGGATTAAACGTGTACACCACCACCGCCCCTGCTGAGAGCCCTTTTTATATTAGGGATTTTGTTCATTTGTGTTTGTTTTCTGAAACAGGGCTCACTATAGCCCGGGTTAGTCTTTAACTCTGTAGCCCAGATTGACTCTAAACTTGCATCAACTCAGCCTGAGCCAGTATTTTTGGCAGGAAATTTTGTTTTTTTTAAGACAGGTCTCTCTGTGTAGCACTGCATGGCCTGGAACTCACTGTGTAGACCAGGATAATCTCAACCTCACAGAGACCCACCTGCTTCTACCTCCCAAGTGCTGGGACTAAAGGTGTGCGCCACCACTGCCTGGCCCATTTATGACATTTTTATGAACAGACACAAATATATGTATATATTCATATATACAATTTTACTTTGCTCATATTCTCCCATCCACCCCTTCCTTTTTACTGGTTTGCTTTTTGAGACAGAGTCTCATGTAGCTGAGACTAGCCTAAAACTCCCAATTTTCTTCTTTTGCCTTCTTAGTACTGAAATTAGAGCCATCGGCCCCCACAACCAGCTTGTACCTCCCATTATCATTTGTTTTTGAGACGCTCAGATAACCCCAGCTACGCATATAGTGATCCTCCTTCCTCAACCTCTTGGGTTTTTCCATTGACAGAAAAACAAGACTTCAAGACTAGAGTAGCTCTGCAAACTGAGGATTTTATTGTCAAGATAGCAACTCTCTGGAGCTGGTGAGACGGCTCATTGGGTAAGGTGCTTGCGGCCAGTGCTGGTTGTCCGAGTGGGAGTCCCCGCCCTCTATGGTGAAGGAGAGAACTGACTCCTGCAAGTTGCCCTCTGACCCCCGTGTGTCCTCTGCAGTAGGTGCACATTTACAGCTTTGTCTTTCAGCTTTTATCTGGAGAGTTTGGGTTGTTGGTTGTTTTGTTGACTCTCTGCCGCATACATCCCGGCCTTGTTTCTACCTGTATTTTGACACTTTTATTTATTTACGAAGTGTTGGGGTTGAATCTAGAGCCTCTTGCACACTAAACGAGGGCTCTACCACTGGGCTCTGTCCCCAGCTCTGGTCCCTTTTGGAGCTAGGTTCTCAGTAAGTTGCTCAGGCAGGCAGTGAACCTGCAACCCTGTTTCAGCCTCCCAAGTAACCAGGATTATAGACCTAATTTTTAACCAATCCTTAGTCTTCAACTCTGAGCTCCTAGAGCAGTGCTTCTCAGTCTTCCTAACGCTGCTGCTGGTGCTGCTGCTGCTGCGACCCTTTAATACAGCTCCTCATGTTGTGCTGACCCCCAACCAGAAAGTTAGTTTTGTTGCTACTTCATTACTATAATTTTGCTACTATTGTGAAACATAATATAAATATTTTTAGAGACAGAGGTTTGCTTAAGGGGTCATGACCCACAGCTTGAGAACTGCTGACCTACAGGAGGGGAAAGATTCACCTTTGCATTCTAAGCATCCATAGTTTCCACCATAGGAAAAACTTGTATTTGTTGATATGGCATCAGATTGAATTCAGAAGCAGATATGAGAATTTAGTAGCGCATAAAGGAGATTTCTGAAATTGTGAAACAATGTGAAACTTTACTGATGTCTTATTTGAGAAAGAATATTTTTCAAAAGTGAATAAATTTTAAATATTTTAAGTCCATAGGTTCGACTAAATTAATTTTTCTATATTCCTATTTTCCTTTATTTTTAAAGCCTTAGTCCTATTTTGTTTTATTTAGGGGGAAAAAACCAGGGTTTCAGCTGGGTATGGTGGCCTCCCAGCAGAGCCAGGCAGATCTTTGTGAGTTCAAGGCCAGCCTGGTCTACATAGAGAGTTCCAGGATAGGCAGAGTTACATAAAGAAGATCTCACTGTGTAACCTAGCCTGGCCTCAAACCTGAGACCCTCCTACTCCCACCTCTTGAATTCTGGAATCACAAGCAGGTTACTTAGCTTCCCCTCAGTCTCCTAAGTGTCAATCATAAAACCATGAAAAGCATAGTACATTATATTCAAGTCTCATTTTCAAATAGCAAAACCATGAGAAGTGTATTCAAAATTGAAGTATAATATTTTCATTATTCTCTAAATTCCTCACCACTGACCCTCTTTGTGTGTGTACGTGCATGTGTTTGCTGGTGTGCAAGTATATGTGTGCACACACACACAAGCTTGTGGAGGCCAGAGGATAAACTTTTGGTGGTATTCCCTCAGGTGCCATTCACTTTGGGTTTTGTTGTTACTTATTTTTTTTTGCATCAAGCTCTCACTGAGCTGGCTCTGGGCTTTGCCTCCCTGGGGTTATAAGCAACACCACTGCACCTAGCCTTTTAATTCCCCCAAAGATCTATTTATTTATTATATGCTGTGTTCCGCCTGCATGTATGCCTGCAGGCCAGAAGAGGGCACCAGATCTCATTATGGATGGTTGTGAGCCACCATGTGGTTGCTGGGAATTGAATTGAGGACTGCTCTTAACCACTGAGCTATCTCCAGCCCCTAGAGACTTCTAAACCACATAGCTCCTAAAAGTCTGCTTTTCAGAACCTTAAAGGAGATCTGGTGTGGGGTGCAGAACTGTGATCCGTGAGCCATCTCTCCAGCCTCACCCCTGGCTTTTTAAATGTGGATTCTGGAGCTGCAGAGATGCTCAGTGGTTAAGACACTCAATGCTCTTGTAAAGGACCCAGGTTCAATTCCCACTGTCCACATAGGGGCACACAACCATGTGTAACTCTAGTGCCAGGGGATTTGATGTCCTCTTCTGGCACACACACACGATACTCATAAATACATTCAGGCAAAACACACATACACATTTAAAAACTTTTTAAAAAAGCCAATGCATTTTATACTGGAATCACTGAAAAATACATGAGCATATTTAATAGGAAATAAGAGTTTCATGAACTAATACCTAACTGTGTGCAGCACTCTCATACTTTGGGGCTTATTTTATTTCCCTTTTAGAAACAATGTTTTGCATTCTTCTAAATAGATTTCATAGTTTACTAGTGGCTTGCAATATAAAGTTTGAAAAAACTAGACAATAAATGTTCAAAATCATATTGTGGAGCTGGAGAGGTGGCTCAGCAGTTAAGACCACAGGCTACTCTTTCAAAGGACCTGGGTTCAATTCCCAGCACCTGCATAGCAGCTCATGAGTCTCTGTAACTTCAGTTACAGGGGATTCAATGCCTTCTGGCCTCTGCGGGCACCAGCATACACACTATGCACAGACATACAGACAGGCACAGCATCCAGACACACAAAACAACCAACCAGCCATCTGGTGGGATCTGGAGCACAGCTCATTGGTTGAGAGTGCTTACTGTTCTTGGGGAGGACCACAGTTCAGGCCTAACACTGACTTCACATGTAACCTCAGCTCCAGAGAGAATCTGACACCCTTGTCTTGCTTCCACAGCCGTGCCCCCCACCCCCACAAATAGTCATATGGTAAGTGGTAAAACTAAAGTTGGCTTTCATGATCTTTCCAATAAACAATATTTAATCTTTACTAAGTAAACATGTATTCGTGTGTGTGGGGGCATCTTACTAGGCTGGCCAAACTTACTTTGTAGACCAGGCTGGCCTCAAACTCAGAAATCCTGTGCTCCCCAAGTGCTAGGATTAAAGGTTCATCACCATTCATTCTCTCTCTCTCTCTCTCTCTCTCTCTCTCTCTCTCTCTCTCTCTCTCTCTCTCTCTTATACATACATATATACATATATACATGTATGTATATGTATATATATTTGAGACAGGATCTATGTAAGTCCTGGAACTCACTTCTGAGTATTTTAGTATTTTCTGAGGAACTGCTGTACTGATTTGCATGGTGGGTAGCTTTCCTCTTTGCCTTTTTTGTGGTGTTAGCCCTGAACCCAGGCTTTGTGCATGCCCCACCAGTCCAGTGCTCTACCACTGAGCTGTACTCCCAGCCCTCTCCTCCATTCTTCAGAGAGATTGTTGGCTCAGCCCTAAATGGGACTCGCTATTGTACCTTTCCCCTCAGAGCTCAGGGCTCCATGCAGAAGAGGGGGCAGGAAGACTGTAAGACCCACAGGTGGTGAGTGACTTTTGGGGAGCTGTTGCACAGCAGATGCACGGACAGACTCAGAGACGGTGACAGTCCACACAAGACCTGCTCACACCACAGAGAACCCAGCCTGGAGGTGGGGAAGCGGGCACAACCTCTCTGAACCAAGGAGCTGTTCTCAAATGATAGCTGCCTCGAGAGGGAGAATCCCTTCTCTTCAACGCAGTGACACTGGTTACATCAGCTACACTTCTGGGCAGGCCCCATTCTCAGTAGTAATCAGTCAAAACAAACTGGACTCCATGTGCTTTCTGTCTGTTTTAGAGAGAAAGAACATGAAGTCGGGTGGGTAGCGAGGTGGGGGAGGAGTTGAGGACAAAGAATATATTATATTGTATGAAATTCTCAAAGAATAAATAAAAACATTATTTTTTAAAAAGACAAAGCTGGTCAGTGGTGGTGCACGCCTTTAATCCCAGAGAGGCAGAGGCAGGCGGATCTCTGTGAGTCTGAGGCCGGCCTGGTCTACAGAGTGAATTCCAGGACAGCCAGAGCCATTATACAGAGAAACCCTGTCTCAAAAATCCCAAAAATATAAATAAATAAATAAATAAATAAATAAATAAATAAATAAATAAATACAAAAGAGCCAGGGTGGAGGTGGGAGTGGTGCACGTCTTTAATCCCAGCACTCAGGAGGCAAGTGGGTCTCTGAGTTCAAGGCCAGCCTACGAAGTGAGAGTTCCGGGACAGTTGGGGCGACACAGAAAAACCCTGTCTCAAAAAAAAAAAAAAAAAAAGACAAAAGAACTACTGTCAGGCCGCAAGACGGTTCAATGGGCAGAGGCACTTGACACCAAGCTGATTGCTGAGTTTGATTCTTAGGACCCTCGTGGTGAGAGGAGAGAACTGACTCCCCCAAGTTGTCTCCAGCACTTTGGCATGCATGCACAGACACGTAAGAAAAACACAACAGAAGAATACTGTGGTTGAGTGTGGTGGCACACTCCTTCAGTCTCAGCACTCGGGAGAAAGGGGCAGGCCGATCTCTGTGAGTTCGAGGCCAGCCTGTCTACAGAGCCAGTTTGATGGCAGAAGTCAACTCTGGGTAGTTCCTTGACTGCTTTCCATCTTACTTCTTGTGAAGGTGGCCTCTGATTGAACCAGGTGCTCAGCGATCCAGCTAAGCTGGCTAGCCAGCGAGCTCCAGGGATTCTCATATTTCTGCCCAATCCCCCAGCACTGAAGTCAGAGGTGTGCTACACTGCCTGGCTTTTCAGTGGATGCTGGGGATCTAAACTCAGGCCCTTAGGCTTGTCCAGTGGGCACTTCTTTATTGACTGAATCATCTCTCCAGCCCCCAAGTTCCATCTGAAAATAGGATAAAGCTATTTTTAATAATCCATGCAAATCAGGCTAGTAAGATGGTTCAGTGGGCAGAGGCACGTGCCACCAAGTCTGCAACCTTAAGTCCTACACTTCTTGGGGTTTTACCATGCTCTACTGCCATGCCACACACCCACAACCTTGCCGCTTCTAGAATGCCCGCCTTTGCCTTTTCACCTTTATAGTCTTGACTAACTCACACTTGCTTGCCTTTTCCATGCTGCCTCCCCAGATTACTCAGCCCCGCTGAAGTTTCTGGTTCCTCTACGGCCCATGTTGTCCCTGCTTTGTGAGTTAGAATCGTCCCACTGTCCTGCTTACCTCTTCTAGGAAGTTCTCTTTGATCCCCGCCTGATCTACATGCTGCTCCTTGGGCTCTGGAGGCCCTCTGTGCTTACCACTCAGAAAACTGTCACCGCTGTTGACATCATTGTGGTCTTCCCAACTAGAATGTCTGAAGACATCCACATAGACCAGTGTTGTAAGTGCCTAGCACTTCAAGAAACAAGAGGAAATACCAGAATCATATTCGTAGACACATACGTGACAGCAGAGATAATATCAAGAGCTCTCTTACCAAAGGACAGTGAGATTCTGGATCTGTTACAGTTACACATAACTTTTACATGTTGCAAAGTTTATTAGAAAGGGAGATCATGGAAGGAGGAAATAGAAGGCGTTATGCTGAAAGCTACATAAAAGATGAGCAACATGTAGGAGAACCAGGTTCCCTAGGGTCAGACACCCAAATTAGCATTGTGAGCAGTCAAAACCATAGGTCTAGTTCAAGACTGAGCCTACTAATAGCCTGGACTTCCTCACTTGAACCCTGAGCCTCCCACGTGGTGGGCATTCTATACCACCATTCTATACTACAGCCCACTAACTCTGGGTTCTTCAAAGGGCCAGCCTGTGTCTAGGTGGGTACATGCCCTGGCTCCTGGGAGAAGCCAATGGAGAATTATTTCTAATTTAGGCCCTCAGGATTCTTTCATTCATTCATTCATTCATTCATTCATTCATTCATTCATTCATTCTGTATACAGTGTTCTGCCTGCATGCATGCCTAAACTGCAGGCCAGAAGAGGGCACCAGATCTCATTATAGATGGTTTCGAGCCTTCATGTGGTTGTGGAGAACTGAACTCAGGACCTCTGGAAGAGCAGCCAGTGTTCTTAACCTCTGAGCCATCTTTCCAGCCCCAGGATTCTTGTAGATTGACAAAATATGCATTCAAAACCCCAAAGTACAAAATATATGAGTAAATGAGCTACCACAGACGAGGAGGTATCAACTTAGATACCCAAGTTAAGTTAGAAAACACAAAAATCCCAACAAATTTCAAAGAATTGATACCAAAGACACTGTGTGTGTGTGTGTGTGTGTGTGTGTGTGTGTGTGTGTGTGTGTGTAGGTTTGTGAGGAAGAGGCTATGTTTTTAAAAATATGTATCAGGTCATTCTATCTCTTAAGTATTCTTAAAAATTATTTTAAATTGTGTGTGCATATGCAGGTCCGTCCCTAAAGAGCCTAGAGGTGTTGTGTCCTCTGGAGCTGGAATTTGGCAGTTTGTGAGGCACTGACATGGGTGCTGGGAACTGAACTTCTTCCTGAACCACCTCTGTCCTCCCCTGTACCCCAACCCTTGCTTTGTGTGTACTGGAGACAGGGTCTTACATAGCTCCAGCTGGCCTTAAACTTCTGGTCTTCCTGTTTCTACATCCTAAGCATGGGGTTACAGGCATGGACCCATACTTGGCTTTGTTTGGTTAGTTTTCTGAAATGGTCTCACACCTGAAGCCTAAGCTAGCCTGAAACTTACGATATAGCCCAGGCTGTCCTCAACCTTGTAATCCTCCTGCCTCAGCCTCCCAAGTGTGCTGGAATTACAGTTATGAAGGCACCATACTCTTCTTCAGAGACTATTATTTGAACATTAATGATAAAGTTGAAAATCAGTATCAAAAAAGATAAAAAAATGTAAATTTTGGGGTATTTGGAAATTTATAAATTTTTTAAATAACTCGTAGAGCACTAGGGTTATAGCTAGGGGCAGAGCATTCACGAAGTCCTAGGTCTGATCACCCCATCATATACACCAAAACAGGCCATGAAGGGAGCTGCGGAGACAGTGGAGTGAGTGGAGTGCTTGTGTGTGTGTGAGAACTGGAGTGAGTAATCACAGTGGGCAGGAAGGCCTACCTGGAATCCCAGCATGCAAGAGGCAGTATCAGGGATTCCCACACTAGCTCAAAACAGAGAACGCTGGGCTCAACATGCTCTTCCTTGATATGTAGGGAGAGACCTCTAATTTCAAGCTCAGTCCTTCACATATGTGTGCACATATGTAAATCACATAAATATTTACAAAGTCATGAAAGTAATTTAGATATTTTAAAAATTAAATATTAATGAAAATATTATATAGCATAGAAAACCTCATGGGTTGTGGAAAACTGGAGTTTTAAAATAGCTGGGTATGCCGGGCGGTGGTGGCGCACGCCTGTAATCCCACAGCACTTGGGAGGCAGAGGCAGGCAGATCTCTGTGAGCTTGAGGCCAGCCTGGTCTACAGAGCTAGTCCAGGACAGGCTCCAAAGCTACAGAGAAACCCTGTCTGGAAAAAACAAAAAAAAAGCTGGGTATGTGACATATGCCTATAATTCCAGCACTTTGGAAACTGAGGCAGGAGGATCACAAGTTAGGGGCTAGTCTGGGCTATACAGACTTCTAAGGTCATCCTGAGATATGTACCATCCCCAGACCCTGTCTCAAAACAAAACAAAGCCTGAATATGTACCTCAGAGCTCTGAGTGCTGGTGACCACATGACCCTCAGCCTTAGCTGGGAGTAGAGGTTGACAGCATAGAATAAAGCACTCAGGAAGCTGATGACAGAAGACTGTCTTGAGTTCTTGCAAAAAACCAAGCCAAACCAAAAAGATATCCTGTAGATATAACCAGCTGTCCAATTAAGATATTATATAAGGGGCAGGGTATCTTGGTCAGTTGGTAGTGTCTGCCTAGCATGCATGAAGCCCTGGGTTCTAACCCAGCACTGCCTAAGTGGGGAATGGTGGCACATGTCTGTAATCCTACCACTTGGAAAGCAGAGGCAGATGGATCAAAAGTTCAAGGTAATCTTCAGCTACACAGTGCTTTAGAGGCAGCCTGGGCTACTAAAAACAAACAGAGATCAAAATGTGTCTTCTACCAACTATATGGAAACATAAAAATCAAGCCTTAAAAAAGTAGGAAACACTTTGGATAGTTATAATGAGAGGATCAACAAAGCCCACAGTAGCATCTGAAAATTGACACCTAAAATTTCTGGTACAGTTGACCACGGGGAAACTGCGGAAATAAAAAGGGAAATAGAATACATTAACTTCATGTTTGACAAGAACAATGAGCTGGGCATGGTGGCGCACGCCTTCGATCCCAGCACTCTGGAGAAAAGGCAGGAGGATCTCTGTGAGTTTGAGGCCAGCCTTATCTACACAGTGACTTCCAAGCCAGCCAGGGCTGTATAATAAGATTCTATTTAAAAAGAAAAAGAAAAAGGAAAAAAGAGATACGAAATACACACTAAAGTGGGAAAGTGACTCAGGAGCCCAAATAGTTTATAGTTATGAAATAACTGGAACCAGTAGTTCAAATTCTGTCTACCAAGAGCTGGAGCACACCTTTAGTCCCAGCAGTCTGGAGGCAGAGGCAGGTGGATTTCTATAGTGAGTAGGACAGCAGAGTGATATAGTAGACCCTGTCTTGAGAAAACAAAATAGAACAAAATAAAAATCATGCCCACAAAGAAACATAAGGCTCAGATGGCTTTATAGGTGAGTTTTATCAAACATTCAAGACCAGTTCATTTCAATATGATGTAAACTCTTCCATAAAGTAAGACAAGAGGCAACAGTCCCCAACTCAGAGGGTACACAGACCAAAAGGACCGTCCAGGACCATCTTAGAAACCTCTTTAGAAATCTTACTAAAAACAAAGGCACTCATATACAAGAATGTTCATAGCAGCATTGTGTATAATAACAAAAGCCTGGGAACAGCCCAATGTTACTCAGTAGGTGAATGGCTAAGTCGGTTGTGTTGTATGTATTTGCTGCAGTATTATACAGATGCAAATGAATGAATCAGCTATTACAACATCGATGAATCTTAGAAACAATGGTAAGTGCAAAAGAGCAAACCTCAAGGGACTAACAGAGTACAACATTTTTGTAAAGCTGAAATACAAGCAAAACAAAATAATACATTCTTAAAGAATATATACACACATGGCCAATATACATAAACAAGCAATTAATGAGCATAAAATTAAAGACAGTGGTTACCTCTAAGAAGAGGCAGGGAAGGGGGTATAACCTAATAGAATTTTTAATGTTTTAATGTATAAGTTGAATGATGGGTCATAGGTACTCATTGAATTTCATAATTTATAGTAAATATTTCTCTATAGATATCAAATATTATTATAATTTAAAAAAAATCTGCTCTTGTGGAAATAAATGGGTGTTATCTCCCTGAAAGAAAACCTGTATTTCTTGGGAAAAAAAACCAAGATTCCCTGACAAGAAACTATCCTGTGGAGAGGACAGAGTAGCCCTCAGTTAATATGGGCTGGTTTCCTGCTGTCCCCAAGGATACATGTGGAGTGTCTGGATCTGTCTGTCCCCTGGTGCTCCCTGACTTACAGAATCGGTACCACCTCCTGGGCTAATCGAGCCTGACCCCACACGGTCCTGACAAGGGACTGACACCTGGTGGCTGCAGACTGAAGTGACCTCGGGCTAGCTTTCCTGGACTGGTGGTAGGGAGTGGGACCCAGAGAGTCAGAGTCAGACCATTGAAGGAGCCGTCCGTGAGACAGTGGGAAAGCTGTCCTGAGAAGAAAGAGACTCTCAAGAGAATGGCTTCCTTCTCGGTCCTTCCCAGACTACAATGAGATAATGTCACCGCCACAGTGAGAGAAATGCAAGACTCAGGGAAAAGGCAGCCGTCTAGCTCACCTTCCTAGGCTCACTAGCCTGGGAAGCTAAGACACACTTCCGGCAGCCACTCTCCACCCTCCACCCCAAGTCTCCATCTGGGGAGTCTGGTGTGAGAAGGCCAATTCCACCCTTTTTCCAAAGCTGGTCCATGATGTATAATAAACACATTAGCATACACATCTTCCTGGCCACACTTGTTGGTCAAGAATAGACCTGAGCCAGGCTGGTTTCCTCATGGTAAATCTTTGGGCTTTTGCTAGGACTCCTGGCACAGTGATCCCCTTTCTTTCTGCTTCGATATACTGGGCAAACGCAGTCCTTGGAGCGCTGGCAGCTGTGAATGGTCCAAACTAAGGCTGGTTTTACAGTAGGTGAGGCCGTGAGACGCGTATGAGCGATCAGATCAAGCCTCACCTGGAGCCAGTACACCTCTTGACTTTCCAATTTCATAAGCCAATTAACAGCTTTTGTCTTAAGTGAGTTCTAAGTTTTCTAGGATTGGAAGCCAGAATAGCCCTAACCTACATTCACATTTACCCTATCTCTATTTCCCCCAGGAGAGCACAGGGATCTAGGTGGGAAGGTCATTATAATTTACTGGTTGTGTTAAAGCCAAGGGATTGAGCTGGACAGGTCTGAAGCAGCTGCCAGGCACTATACAAGGCAGGCCAATGGCTCCTTTAGGGAAAGACTAGCTGAATGAGAAGCAGGTGCAGTGAAGGCCTCTACCAGGCAGGCAGGGTGAGCTCAAATGAACATAGCCATTCTTCCCCACAGAGCTATCTATCATGGGGGTGTTGCTTTGGGGTCTTTATGCTCCTGGGCTAGGGAACTCTGAAGTCCACGACCCTTTAACCCTTTGTTACCCTGTGTTGTGGTGTCAGCCTCTCCCTTTACCAACGAAAGGGCCTCCTTTGGAATTCCGCCCTTGATAACACTCACTTTTGAGGTGATGGGAGGAATTTTATCTTCTGCTTCTTTGGCTCGCTGGGAACTCAGGCTCCTTTCTCCTTTGGAAACAGCACCATCTTCCTGACCTCGAGTAGGCACTGTCTCCTGCTTGGCGTCACCCAATGGCCCTAGTCTTTCTGGTCTCCCAACTAAGTTGTTTTCTCCTTTGGAGCTCCATGTCTCCCAGAGTAACCTCGGAGACCGGGGAGAGTTCACAGCAGCTGCGGCTGCAGCCTTCTCCGGAGTAGCATTCCTCTCCCCACTCCCGCCTGGCTTTTTTCGAGGGCGTCCCCGCTTCCTTTTCGCCTCCCTCACTGTGGCCTCTGCCTCTTGCTTCACTTCTTTAACCGGTGGGTCCTGCCCACTGGCCTCACTCAGAGGCACTTCCGCTGTCCTTTTGATACCCTTGTCATGGGGTCGTGGGTCACCACTTATCACTACCTCCCTGTTCTCTGTGCCTCGAGGCAGAAGAAGTGTCCTAGGTGGAACTCGGCCAGCCCCAGGCCCAGCCCCAGGCCCAGGCCCAGGCCCTGGCCCAGGCGCAGGCCCAGGCACAGGCGCAGGCCCAGGTGCAGGCCCAGGTGCAGGCCCAGGCGCAGGCCCAGCCCCAAGCCCAGGCCCTGGCCCAAGCCCAGGCCCAATTCTAGCCCCAGCCCCTGATAAAGCAGGAACAGGTGGTAAGATCATGTTAATGATGGGCACAGCTGCCTGGGGTCCCCCAACCCTAGTGGGCAGAGGCAATGTAGCTACTTTCAGAGTGCCTGAAGAAAGCTTGGGAGCCAGAATGGGTGTAATAAGTGACTGTGGTGCTCGGGGAAGGAGCACGGGCAGTCGGGCCACGAGGGCATTAACTTGTGGCTTACTGGCTGCGGGCGCTGAGCTGTCAACTACACTCTTCTTCCGTTCTCCACGACCTGGGGTGTCAGTTCCAGCTCGGGCTTCCAGCTCCTTAGGAGGCTAAAATGCAAACACAGCCACAATAATGTATAAAGACTGTCAATACAGGGGCTGGGGAGATGGCTCACGGGTTAAGAGGATTTGTTGTTCCTGTAGAGGATCCAGGTTCGGTTCCCAGCACCCACATGGTGGCTCACAATAGTAACTCTAGTTCTGGGGCACCTGAAGTCCTCTTCTCCCCTTAGGCACCAGGTACATATATGGTGCACATACATGCATGCAAGCAAAACATTCATACACTGGGCTGGAGAGAGATGGCTCGGTGGTTAAGAGCACTGACTGCTCTTTCAGAGGGCCCGGGTTCAATTCCCAGCACCCACATGGCAGCTCACAACTGTCTGTAATTCTAGCTCCAGGGGACCTGACACCCACGGCAAAACGCACATGAAATAAAAATATTTAAAAAACCCAAAACATTCAGACACATAAATAAATCTAAAGATAACTAAGAAAATAAAGACTGAATACAGGAGGAAGAGAAATGAAAAATAAAAAAGTAGGAGGCGCTTTGCTGGAAGGGGACACTAGAACCCCAAGCCCTGGGTCACGAAGTCAGAGGCATTAGCTGCCTTACCTGGGCTGGTCTCTCCGGCTTCTTGGGGCCTCCACCTTCCAGGTTTTCTACGCCATTCTTGGATTTATATGATGACCGTTCCCGAGGGGCTCTCTCTTCTTCTTCTGCAGAGGTACCCAACGGGAATAAAGCAAGGGTGAGAGAAAAACCAAGGTATGGACAGTGAAGTGAGCCTGACTGCCTAGCTGTGCCTGGGACAGACAGTGGGAAAGCATGTGTTTAAAGCATGTCCTGAGAAGCAGCTCCAGGAGGGGCTGGGCTGATAGTTCAGTTGGTTTCATGCTTGCCACGTACGCATGACTTGAGTTCCACCTGGCCTGCATACCTATCCACCCACACAAAAATGATCACCAGGAAGAGAAGACAATCTGAGGTGTGTCTACCCTTGTATTTGGGAAGGCCTTTAGAGCTGGAAAGGATATCAGTGTGTGCCTGTTGGGAGGTTGAGGCAGGAGGACTGCTAGAGCCCAGGAGGTAGATCTAGTCCATCTTTGGCAACATAGTCAGACTCACACACAAGCACACAAGCACGCACGCACGCACGCACGCACGCACTCACGCCTCCCTCCCCCGCCCCCCAAAAAAGGCCAAGTGGCTGAAGAGCAGGTCCACCCACCAGCAAGCCCCCCAGCCTTAAGCACATGAGCATGTGCAGATCGGGCAGAGATGAGATGCTGCTGTAGTAGGTAGCGGGCGACCTGAACTATGGAACTGAAGGACCGTTTCAGGATCTGCTCTGCCCAGTCACAAGTCAGGGCACAGGCTGCCTCTACCAGTTCATCCCGAGGTGCTTGGGTTACTTCTGGGCCCATTTCTGGCTGGAGTGGAGAAAGACATGCTCAATCAGATTACCAAGTGAATTACTTGTCCCTCCCCTACTACTGACTAAAGCAGAAACCAGACTGAGGACAGAAGTCGCTCCTACTCATTAAGACCCAGAAACTCAAATTCTCTTCTTCCCATGCTTAGGCCACAAGGAAGGCAGACGGTCCCCCAGAAGCAATGTATGAATGACTGTGGTTTTCCCAGCCACCAAAACAAGTCCTAAAGACCTCTTTTACCTGGGAGAGGGGATTAATTAGCATTGGAAGGTCATGACTTACACTCTCAGAACCCTTTAGGTCAAGTCCAGGCAATGGTGGCATAGACACCAAGGTCTTCCTTCGGATGCCACTGTAGCAATACCTGATGCAAGTTAAGGAGCAGCCAAAATCTGGAGCTCTTCAAGTCTCTTAGGCAAGTTAGGTTGTTTCTATATTGTACCCTTTCCTCCCCAGGTCCTAATTTCTCAGTCAAGGATACTTGGATTGGCCCCGACCACCAAGTCTTCGGGCCTTGATGTCAGGGAAGATCTCTCTGATGATTTTACCGAAGTTGGCTGTGCTGAGTGGGCGGCAACAGGCAAGACTCTCACAGTACTTTCTGAGGAAGTAGGAGGTATAGTGATATAGTAGATATAGTCAGAGGTGGGCTCAGAGGGTTCCTAGGGACCAAGTGTGAGGAAGCCTTTAAGAGGTCACACTCTAGCAAGGCAGGAGGAACTTCAAGGGTAAGGGTCTAGTCCTGTGCCCAACAACTCAGGCATCACCTTCTTTACATACCGATAGGCATCATAGACGCTTTGCTTTGGCAGACAGGTATCCATGTGCTCTTCCAGGTGGTTGCGGATCCACCTACAGGCATACATATACTCCTCATTGCTAAGTATGCTCGGCTCGGAGCTGTAAGACAAGTAAAAGGGACACACATACTTCAGTGGTGCTGGACCACATCAGTCAGTCCCAAATCCACCGTTCTCTGCTAAACCATGCCAGGGCAGGACATCATCTATGCATCTCCTACTTCTTTTTTAAAATATTATTTTATATGTATGAGTGTTTTTTGCCTGCATGTATGTATGTGCAGCACATGTGTGCCTGGTGCCCACAGAGGTCACAAAGTGGTGTCAAGATTCCTGGGAACTGGAGTTATAGATGGTTGTGAGCTACTATGTGGGTGCTAGGAATTGAACCTGGGTCCTATGCAAGAGCAGCCAGTGCTCTTAACCCCTTCCCCATCACCTACTTTTTCACTCACCACAGTGAGACTCAAGATCAGAACCTAGGACATCTAAAACACTAACACCAAAGTACCTTTTATCGCCAATGCTGGGCCCTGAAGGGAGCTGAAGGTAGAGATAGAGCTTGTCGTTGTCAGAGAACTTCTGTACTTCTTGCTGAGGCAGAAGGAAACAGAGGTAGGAGAGATGAAGCCAAGGACCCAGTGAATGATCTGATCTTGACCATAGAGTCCAGCTGACTCTAAGTCAGGCTGTCAGAATGAAAAGGGACCTGATAAATGACATGAGTTTGAATACTCACTGTACTGAGGAACCTAATGGGCTCCCATGGAGAGAAGGGGAGCAGAGGGGAGGGGACTGGGTTTGACTTTATCTTTTCTACATAGGTCACTGAAGGATGTAGCATGATGCTCAAAGGTAGGCAGCACCCCCCACATAAACCTATTTATTTCCTCACATCATCACCACCATCCTCGGCAGTACCACCTCTGTGGCCCTTTCCCAGCATGCTTACCAGAATTCCCTCGACTTTGTTCTGCACGGCCTTGCTGTGGAGAAGAAGAAAAGCTGGAGGTCACAAGGTTTTCCCATCCCTTTGTCTGATTGCTAGAGACAGAAAAAGGCCCGAACTGCTACCAAGACCACAGACCTCAGCCTGCTCTTGAACACTTGCCTGAGGGAGGCGTGAAGGGTAACAAGGATCTACAGCTGGGTGTGGAACAGGGTTTGGAGACCGAGACGATTACTTACGAAATGGTACCTCGGAGCCTTTGAAGAAGGGTGGTAGGTTCCCCCGCTTCAGCACCACCTTGGGGCCTTGCCCCAACCCTGGGGCTTTTAACATCAGGTTTATCTTCCGCCATCCCGGCATGAGGACTAAAGCTGAGAGAGGACATGAGATTTAACTCCCACCAAGCTTCCTTGCCCCTGGAGACCCCAGGGCAGTCCTGTCTCTACCCAGAAATACAAACAGAAGCAAAGCTTCCCCCCAGAGGTTTTTTTTCCTCACCACTTGCCTTCTCTAAAATTAGAATTATTCCGTTACTTTGTCAGGTCCTTCTAGATCCAAAGAGATCGCTGACATCTCCATTCTCTATGTCCCACCTTTTCAAATCTCTCAAATCTGGGGAACTGTTCCGGGAAGAGAGAGGGGTGGGGAAATCCACGTTAGAAAGAGATCTTGTAATTCCTCCCAGTGCTGTTAACCGCCCCCCACCCCGAAAAAAAAAACAAACAAAAACAAAAAACAAACAAACAAACACCGATAACGACAAACCAAAGTTCTCCGATATTCTAACAGACTCCTCGCCATGGATTTTGCCGGGGAGGTCGGAGGGGATGCGAACACACTCGGCCCTTGCAGGTTTGGAAAAAAAACTGGGCCCAAGTTCTCATTACCGAGTCCTGCCACGGCTTCCCCCGCTGCCCCCCTCGCCTCGCCTCGCCGCGGCGGACCCTACGTCATCCCACGGCATCCCACCCCGCGGCGTCCCCGCTCCCCGCGGGCCCCTCCACCCGGTCCCCTGGTGCTGATCCGGGGGATGGGAGGGAGGGAGGGCTGGTCTCGGAACTCCGGAGGAGCCCAGGCGAGGCGCAGGGTGGGAGCCCTGCGGGGAGCCGGGTCCCAGATTCGGGCACGTGCGCACGGGTGAGGAGTGCGGAAAGCGGGTCCTGCGGGCACCCGAGTCCTGTCGCCCCTCCTACCTCGGGACCGTCACCTTCCAGCGCGGACATTAGACAGGTGAGAGAGAAAGAGAAACCGGCCCCTCGGCTCCCTCCGCTCCAGCCCAGCCCCACGGTGCCCGGGCCGGCGGGCTCGTGCGTTGCTTTTATTTTCCTTTTTCTGAATGGTTGTCCCGGCCGCGGTCTGCCTGGATACACGCACGGCCTGCTCTGTGATTGGTCGTTGCTGCCACCCAGACGAAGGCAGTGAAAGTCTGCCTGGTAACAGAACCTGATTGGTCGAGCGGGGAGGGAAAATCCAAAGTTAGTCTTATTTGAGTCGAAGAGGGGGAAGTCCAGGTTAGGTTTCGGTTAAAACCGGGGTCGGTTAGGCCCGCGGGTCCGGACACGGTTCTTGTCTTAAAGGGGCCGCAGGGTGAAAAGCCCGGGCGCCCCGCGGCCTCGGGAGCGTCTGCTCTTTTGCCCTCTGATCCTGGGCGCTAAGGTCATCGCGAAGACGGCTACGGGGACGGGCGCGGGTTTTACTCGGGAAAAGAGCTGCGTAGATGCCCTCTAGGGTCCGAACCCACAGCGGGGCAGTTTCGGGGTAGGAAAGTGGTTGGCTGGGGTTGGCTGGGTGCTAAGGGGCGTTTAAAACGTCAGGAGGTTGACAGACATCCTCCTCACGTGGGGGTCCATAGCACGGGGATGGCAGGAAGCTATGACAACAAGTTACTTTGGTTGTGGGAACCGAATTCCTTTGGTTTCGGGGATTCGCGTCGCCTCACCAACATTGGGGAGCTTTGCAAGACGGAGTGGGCATAGCTACCATGTTTGAATTTCGCCGTCGGCTGCCAGAGCTGCCCGAAGGAATCAGGAGGTGGCTGTTGTGTTTCAGGAATTGCTAGAAAATGATGGCTAGTGATGGCAATTCTTTATAACACCCTGACACTCCTTTTTGGTATAAAACAAGTCGAACCATTCCAAGTCCTTCCCTCGTTTCCCCCCAATCCCCTGCGGCCACAGCCTCCCCACCGCAGGCTCCCCTTCCTTCCAGGGACGCTGCAAACCCTTAGCAGCTCTACCACGTTAGGCGGAAATCTTTTCTCTATTGTTAGCCACGCTCACGCCGTTTCATCAAGCGCCCCGGTTTCAGCTAGGCAATGACAGCTCCCAGAACTAAAGCATCTTCATGGCAGTTCCTTTTCCAGATTCTTGCCTCTTTGCTCCATTCACCCCAGGGACCCACAAGAGATGTTCATGGGCTGCCTGACCCCCACACTGCACACCCTGCCTCCCTAGCTACCTTTAGTAACCACAGAAGGAAGCTGTCGAGGCCCTTCCCCCCTTCCCTTTTCTGTCCTGTAACTGGTTCCGGTCCTTACACTAAAGACACCTCCCCCACCCCCACCCCTTTGCAGGTCTTTTCCAGAATGAAGCCTGTCTGTTGAGCCTCTAAGTCCTTTTCTCTGTCTTCCCTCCATATTCATCTCCCTCTGCCCTGGTTTCCTGCGTGGGCTCCCTCTCCTTCCTAGGAGTTCCCTACTTGGTGAACACCGGAAAGTTGATTACGTCCCGCATGAAGAAACTCAGTTCTGTGGCCACTTTTCCCTTCAGAAAAGGTAGTATTTGATAGTTATGAGTGCTTAACCCTCTGAAGGGTTGTTGAGCCCCTGATGAAAGACACACATGCAGAGTGTTGCACCTATCTTACGCAGTCGTGGACTCCAGGTCCACAGTCTCTTAAATGGATGCATTTTGTTCTGCACAGCAGAGATGTGGCACCCCAAGTCATATACCCAGTCCTGACCGGAGTTTTGTGAAGGAGGTGGTGCTTGTGGTCTCCTCCCCACAGCCCTGTGAGGCCCCATTTCCCTCCTGTGGGAAATGGGGGTGAAATAATATCTTTTCTCTGGAAGAGTTCATGAGACTGAGTAAATTCTGTCTTTAAAGGAATTGGTAGGATGTCTCCTCGTCAGTCTTTTCCTAAGACTGAAGCAATGTACTCATGGTTGCTGTCTTGGTTGAAGGTCGACTCAGATCCTGTGCTCAGGAGTAGCACTTTGCTAATGAACTCTGCTGCCAGCCACTAAGTCCACGAGGCAGCCTCCTGACCACTCAGAACAAGGCACAGGACTCTTCAGGAGTAACATTCCTCTCCCTGTACAAGATGCTTGCTTGAGCATGGCTAACCTCCCTTCTGTAGAAGTGAACATCTTGCCTTGCTCAAACACTTTGGATTATATGGTTTCCTAGTTAGATTCAGCTGTCCGTTCGACACAGCCTCAAGTTATTTGAGGGAGTTTTAGCTGGGATTGGCCTGTGGGGCATTTTCTTGATTGCTGATTGATGGAGAGCTCAGCCCTCTGTAGACAGTGCCACCTCTAGGTTGGTGGGCCTGGGCTGTATGAGAAAGTCACCCGGAGTCAGGTAGGGACTAAGCCAGTGAGCACCTGCCCTGCACGGTTCGGGCCTCTGCTCCTGCCTCAAGCTCCTCAGTGACGGATCGTTACCTAGACGTGTAAGATGAAATAAGCCCCTTTCTTCTCCAAGGTGCTTTTGGTCAGAGTGTCCTAGCACACCAACAGAAAGCAAGCTAGACCATGTGGCCACTTTCTTGAGACCCCCCAGGCCCATTTTAAACACTACTACTGGCATCTGTTAGTATTGGGGAGAATGTGTTGTGGAATTTGCAGGCAGAAGGCGATTTGGTTTTCACTGTGTAAGGATACTACTCTTAGCTTTAGGGTTGGTGGAGGCTAGACATTTTCTAGCTCAGTGGATACATTTTGAGAAGTTTATTAGTAAGGGGATTGTTAGGTCAGATAGAAAGTGAAGGTAATTGGCCTAAGGGCCTAAGATAGCTCAAGATAATTTTGGTGACACATTTTTTACAACTGTGATTTTTGTTTGTCTTTTCCTTTCTTTTTAAATACATAGCTTCACTCTAGCCAATTCTGACCCTGAATACCCCATGTTCACCCTGAACTCATTGCAATCCTCCTGCTTTAGTCTTCCAGGTGTTGGGTTTATAGGCATGAGTCCCCATGCTCCAGAACTATGATGTTCTAGTCAGCTGAGGCCAAGCAGTCTGCAGGATGAATGTAGCTTCTTCCGAGAACTGGAGCTCACACATCTTCATGGTAGTTTTTATTTCATTAACTAATTTTTGCTTTATGTGCATTGGTGTTTTGCCTGCATGTATGCCTGTGTGATGGTGTCTGGTCCCCCGAAATTGCAGTTAGAGACAGCTGTGAATGTGTGCTGAGAATTGAACCCGGGTCCTCAGCAAGAGCAGCCAGTGTTCTTAACCGCCAAGCCATCTCTCCAGCCCAGTGTTTTTATTTTATTATATTTTCTAATCTTATGAACTTTATTATTTAAAAAACTTGCAAATAAACAAAAACACTATGTACCCAAATTAACTAGACCTCAAGTCTGTGCAACTCAATGAACTCGAATTGGCATTCAGAATGGAAGCTATAAAGCTTCACATTAGCTTTTACACTTTCAGTATCAAATATATTTTATGCACTAATCTACCACCCAAACCAAAAATCTGTGACAGAATTAGAACTAGAAAAAAAATTAGCTTTCTATCCTCTTATAACTGTGGTCATTACCTGCCTTTAGCCCTCCTCCCCCCCTGGTGTTTAGCCTTTTTCGTTCTTTTCAGGTTACACTGAACTCACATATGCATTCACTTACATGTGTACACAGGTCATCGGCTAGATTCTGCATGAGAGAGCACATGTAGATTGCTTCTTTCTGAGATTGTGATCTCGCTTAGTATCATACAGTCTGAATCCATTTTCCTGACATTTTTTAACTCCATTTTTCTCTAGAACTGAGTAGTATTCACACCACATTTTCATTATCCATTCATCTGTTGACAACCAGTTTGATTCCAATTCCTTGCTATACTGACTAAAGCAGCAATAAACATGAACGTGCAAATATCTCTATGATAGGGTACAGACTTCCCTGGGTGTGTGCCCAGGAGTGGAATAGCTGGGTCATATGGGAGTTCTGTTTTTCATTTTTTGAGGAATCTACAGACTGACTTCCACAATGGCTGTATTAACTTGCACCCCCACCAACAGTAAATTAGGGTTCCTCTCTATCCACATCCTCTCCAACATTTGTTATCAGATTTCTTGAAGACAGCCATTCTCATTGGAATGGGTTGGTATCTCAGAATAGTTTTAATTTGCATTTCCCTGGTGGTTAGGGATATTGAACACTTTTAAAAATCGTTATTGGGTTCCAGACATGGTGTCACACACCTTTAATCCTAGCACTCGGGAGGCTGAGGCAGGTGAATCTTTGTGAGTTCATGACCAGCTTGGTCTTCATAGTAAGTTCAGGGCCAGCCAAAGCTACACAATGAGACCTTGTCTCAAAGGTACTGGCCGTTTCTGTCGGCATTCCCTTTGGAAACTGTCTGCTTGCTCTTTGGTGATTGACAGTTTTATTTCCTTTGTTAATTAATTTCTGCAATTCTTTGTAAATTCTGGATATTAGCCCCTTGTCTAAATTTTAGCCTGTAAAGATTTCCTTCCATTCTGGAGGTTGTCTGTTAATTCTGATCATTGTTTCCTCTGCTGTATAGAAACTTTATTTTCCTGTCATTCTGTCTGTTGATACTTGGGGTTAGTTCCTGTATTGCTGCTGGTCATTAAAAAAAAAGCTCTGACTGTCCTGGAACTTGTTGTGTGGACCAGGCTGGCCTTGAACTCACAGAGAGCTAGCTGCCTGCCTCTGCCTCCCTGGTGCTGGGATTAGAGGCGTGGCCAGTTTTGCCCACACCATTTGTTGAGTAGGCTATCTTTTTTCCAAATTATGTTTTTGTCGTGTTTGTCAAACATTAAGTGAATGTAGTTTTGCAGTTTCAGTTCTGGGTTTTCTATTCCATTTCATTGGTCTGCCTGTTTCGTTCCAGGACCAGGCTGTCTTTATCACTACAGTTCTTTGGTATAATTTGAGGTCAGATGTTGTAATACTGGGAGTGCTGTTACTCCCTAGGAGTACTTCAGCTATTGGTGGTCTTCTGTGATTCCATATGATTTCTTGTTTTGTTTTTCTAACCCATGAAATATGACATGGGGATTTTTGATAGGTATTACATTCATTTTGTATATTAATTTTTCAGCATAGACATCTTCACAATATTAATTCTTCCTATTCAG